GGTCTGAGGGGGTTACAATAACTCAAGTATACTGTGTATTCTTGATACTAATACATCACAGAAAAATGTAATACCATCGAATTTTTTATTGTCTCCTCTTGTTTCGTTCAGTGGTAATTCTGGAAGAGACCAGTTCAACCAGTGTAATCAATATTAAAAATTGATTATTCGTGAAGTATATCAGTATAGTTTATTGACAAGTTTTACAGGGTAGAGATCGATTAGTACGATTTAACTCGAAGTTATGATAATGTGATATAAATTCAGAATAATGCAAACTATCGTTTTACCCTTATTGAATTAAGTTACTAAGAAGCCATCAGAAATTGAAATGTTCGAAATACCCCTAATTGCCTGAATAATGGGAACACTCATGTTATGTCTAGGTCTTCAAAAATTATGATGTAAAGGTTCCTGAGTACCTTTTTTAATACACTCGAATCTTAAATGATTTTTGAAACATCAATTTCGGAAGGTTGATTAGATTTGTTACGGAGCGAACCCTTTTTATAGGGACCTCAATTATGAATTTCGTCCAATCTACAGAAGTTATACGTTTTTCTTTCTTGATAACGATCAATTGCCTCCGAAAAATATCTGAATATTATATGATCATGATAAATCACTTTCAGAATGACTGATAAATCCGTCAGCTATCAAACCCCCTTTTATAGGGATATCGTTTCTGAAATTTAATCAGTTTGTAGAAGTTTCTTGTTTCCCCCACTTGATAATTGCTAAGTACCTCCAGAAAATAACTAGATCCTCTAGTGTATTCCCTATGTACTACTTGACTATTTTATCTGTTCTGAAATGTGTTTCACCAAAACTTATGATTTACTAATTTACTTATTTACTGACTTATGAACTATGGCTACATGGTATGTGTTCTCTAGTTACATGGTTTCACTGAAAAATATAATCGTTCATGATTTATGGATCATGGAATCTAATGTTTATTGTATGAACCGATTACTGGGGTATTATCTGGGTAAGCTGGAGTATGGAGGTTCAACTTTGATCAAGCTGGTAATTCCTTATGGACCTAAGGTGACCCTTGGGTAGGCTCCGAGGCCCCGAGAAACTTTCTTGGGTAGACTCTCAGGCCCCAAGGCACTCCTTTGGGTAAATCATGGGACTGCATATGGTGTACGGCTGGAGGGTAGTTATGTGGTTTATTTCATTGTCACTCTTACGAGATTTTACTGGATCACAATCCTGATATTACAGTTTACTGTTAAATCTGATTCTGGAGTATGAAGGTTCAGCTCTGATCAAGCTGGTAATTCCTTACGGACATAAGGAGACCCTTGGGTAGGCCCATAGGCCCAAGGTACTCCCTTAGGGTGGCCCTTTTGTTGTGTGCTTAGGGTAAGTCCTTATAGATGCAGTTCTGGGGAAACTGCATAACGGTGTTCGGTTGGAGGGTATTACTGTGATTTTAAAATATGTTTTAAACTACTAACATTTTTATAGGATCTATATACATTACTCTGTTTTGTTGGAACACACTAGACATCCTATTCCGATCTCCTGAACTTGGTCCTCTGAGTGTTTCCTCTGAACTGAAATCTTTGTGTCTTTTACTCGAAGAAATATCAATAGAACCTTAGCTCATCCCGAAAACCTGTAGACGTCTGAATCAATAAGGAAAATTTATGTTTTTCCATTTATCTGCATTTCTTTCATCATCACTTGATAGTTCTGTATTACTAAGATTCCCAAAGCTCACTCTTTTACTCTCCATTTCAGGTTAAAAGAATTGATCCAGTTCAGCTATCGACATCTGCAATGGGAGTTCATTTAGCTTAGGATGAAGAGTACGTTACAAGGGTAATTATGGGGCATGTAGGTTACATTTGATTTCTATACTGAGTGGGAAACATGTCTGATTTTAACTATGTTTGTGTTATATAAATGGTTTTCTGAATTTGTATTTTAAGTATAAATTGTTTTTTATGATTTTACGCTTTTAACAAAAATTTTAAATTCTTTTTGGATTTTTTATTGTGGGTCGCTCTGGTGGCCCTAATGTGACACCTCGACTCGAATCGGGTTACCTGCATCGGTTTGAGAGTGTTACAAAAATACTATTGATAAATGTCTACTGTCGCATGCATGGTATTACCTATATTTTCCATGTCCACGTTAACATATCATTCTCATTCCATCTCATAATTAGGTAATTTTATTTCTTATTCGATATATAATAATTGACTATTATAATTATAATTATAATTTCAACATATTAACATACATATTTTTTTTTTGTTGAATAGATGGAGCATTGACTTAAATCATTAGGTATTTCGAATCAACTTAAAGACATTAGATTATTAATCGATCAAAAAGTGACTAGATTTATGTGTTAATAACTAGAAATTTAATATTATCATGTATTAATTAGAGATTCATTTATAAGTTTACAATTGATAATAATTTTTTTTATACTTCGTTTGAATGCCCTATATAAATCATGAATTGAGTGGTTACATCTGAGGAAATATGAGTGGTTTATTAGAAGTACGTCATGAGTCATGAGTATGTGCCTCTTATACATTATGCAATTGTTGAATGACATTCGAGCGACCGTTTGCTGCAATAATTTGGGTTCATAAACTTTATTTTCGAATCAGTCATTGACTTAAACAACTTGCATATAGTTAACTGACGAGAGAACATAAAAGTTGATTGGAGGATGAAGCAAAATGAGTGGTTAGTGAAGTAGGACAACTGATATGATTGTATACATGATCATCAATTTATTTTGAGTCATGATATGATAGTTTTGAGGGATTACATGACATGGTTCATGCAGTACGAAAACCATATCTATTGTTTGATGAGAAACGAGCCAAATCTATTCATCATCGGAGAAAAAGTGTCCACCGATACAATATCATTGTCCCTCAACTAATTGAAAAAGAGCGAACCATTTTAATTTATTATCATTAACATCATCTGACCACCACATCAAACACGGTCGATGCATGACATTATTGTTTGTTTTAATAAATTTACTTATAATCTTTAATATATTACAATAATAATAAATAAAAAAGTTAGAACTTAATAAAAATTTATTTTATTAAAGAGTTTTTTGACAAAAAAATAGTTTAGAGGCTTCTAGGAAAAAAGTCACAATTTAATGACTTATTTTAACTAAAAAATAATTTAAATACTTAAATTAGTTACATATAATAGTTTGTGGACTTATTTTTGACTAAAAATAATTTATTGGCTTAAAAAAGCACAGTTTAATTTTTATAGTTAAGCCTATTTTTAAATATGCTCAAATAATAAGTTCAAAAGAAATTATTATTGAAAACATTAAGCCTTATTTGAACAAATTTAAAAAATGTTAGATTTTTATTCTGATTTTTATGGATGAGTCTTCCAATGGAGATTTTCTACATACACAAAGCCCCGAACTCGAGACCTGCTTAAATGATACCAACTTGCTTATCACTTAAACTAACCCCATTAACAGAATCAAATATATATTTAATATATGTAAAAAAATAACTTTTCAAATAAAAATTAATTCTTCTTTAAAAGATAAATTTTAATGATGTTTTAAGATAGATATCAGAAGTACACATTTAGCATTTACTTTAATAAAATACTTAATACAATATATAAATTTCGATTTATATATAGATACATAAAAATTTAATTTGGTTTAATTTTCACATACTATAAGTTTATGTTTATTTGCATGCGTAAATAATTATACTCACCTAATGTAAAAATAAATAGATATATTTATTTTTTAAAGTATATACAATTGAATGAAAATCAAAATTCTATATTTTCAACTGCACTAAAATAAAAAAATTATGCGTATAATAACATCAAATGTAACTTCATATATTATATCACTCATTTGACCAAAATTTTATTTTGATATTTATATATGTTTATCTTTCTTCTGATAAGTCCGAGGAAATACAAGTAATATATGTTCAAAGACCTTCAACTACTTGACAATAAACATTCATATCTCTAACACATGCGATATTCGAATCTGAGACTTCAAGAGATAGTTACAATTTTTTTATCTCTGAGGTCGATGTTTATATTTTTTTTATTACTCTAGGGTGATTACAAGTGGTTATTTGACAATGAACACTCAGAACGTTGATGTTTGAACATGAAACCTCTAAGGATAACAAACATTTCTTTAACCACTGAGATTTATTGGTTTGTGAAGTTCAATATTTATCTTAAACATGTGAATATGATAAATAAAAATAACCATGAAGATATCAGAAACAAATTCCGAAAATAAAGGGTTCCTAAAAAAAGGTAACAATAATTGAAAGAAATGGATAGAGATAGACCCATTATTATTGCATTTACCCTACAAATCCCATAATTATTGAACACAAAATTGAAATTTGAAGAACTCTCAAGAAAAGTGAAAACCCAATAGTTGCATTAATCTCAGTGCGAAATCTATGCCTTCACTTTAAACGTCTAATTATGTCTCCAGTCCCTGTACTCTTCAGACCTTCAGAATTTAGCATGTTTATTTTTAGTTCCATAACGTTAGCTTTTTTTCTTGATAGATTTAAAAAATAAATCCAGTTGATAACATCGTTGATTACTTTTATTAAAACTTGAATATGTGACTTTTTAGTTGGATTTTAACTTCTAAATAAGATATTTTTGTTCTGAATAGTCTGATGCGATTATAAAATAATATATATTTAGAATCTTTATTAGTCATTAATAATATACATATATTATAGATGTAGTTGCTCAAACCTGAAATCTCTAGGGATAATAACATTCACTTTTACCATTGAAATATCTTGGTGGGTTTCTAAATAAAATATTTAAATGATAAAGAATCACATAAGTTTGAAGAAAACCCATTAACAATATTATCAATGGGAATTAAAAGTAGAGGGATTAAACTCTAAAACATTCGCATGGTACAGGGACTGGGGAATAATTAAACCCACAAGCAGTAACGGTCATACTTTTCAAGTCTTTATTTTCTTCAAGTTCATTGACCGATTTCTTAGTTTTTTTCTTCCTTTGATTTTCTCTTATCTTTCACTCTCCAAGAAGACGATTTTCTTGACAGGGTGTTGAAAAAGAGAAATTAAAGGGAACTTTTTGAAAGAAGTCAATCAGGCTAATAATGGGTTGCTCTTTTTTTTCTTGTTTTTCTGCTTCCAAGAACAAAAAACACCAGCATTTAGTAAATGGACCTTCCTCTATTGATCAGGTTAGCTTTCTCTCCACTTTCACCATATAAAATTCTTGGTTTTTTAGTTTTTTATTTGAATAAATTTGTTCAACCCAGAAACCCGAAGCCAATGAAGATGTTCGATGTAGTAAGGAAGAAGATTTTTGGAAACCCTTCAACCCAATCATAGTGAAGAAGTAATGGAAGTCCAGTTTCAGGCCTTTATTTTCTTGATCACTAATGTTTATTTATGCATGTGTTGATTTGCTTGTTTCGTGTCAATTCATGTAGAGAGAAGCTAGGGGAGCTAATGAAAAACAGTGGTAAGAAGCATGGAGCTTTTTATTTGAATGTGGAGACTAGTGATGAATTGTCTGTTGAATCATCTGATAAGTTGTTGAGAAATGAGGAAACTAAGGAGACTGAAGGAACAGTTAAAGGAAGTGGATCTTCTGTTTTCGATTTGAGTGCTTCGGCTGCAGTTTGTAAGTCTCCAAACAATAGATATCAGAACAGTGACGAAAGTGGGGATGAATTGAAAGATTTGGATTTAGAAACAAAAGAAGTTAATGAGGATGGCAATGGCATTGGAAAGGCTAAAAATGAGTCACAATTGGACATAGAAGAGTCATCCGAGTCGCTGTTTTCGTTGTCGATTGAGTCCAGGAAACATGTTTGTGAAGTTGAATCAGATGAGAAGGAAGTTAATAGTCCGATTCCGATTGTGTTAAATCGAAATGCCGGAGTTAAGGGTGGTGAGTGTGTGCAATCAGTTCTGAATCCTGTTGAAAATCTTGCTCAATGGAAAGGAGTGAAAGCAAAAGCAGGCATACCATTGAAGGATGAAGAAAAGGAGAACATTTATGTGGAGCAAGGTTCTGATTTTAAGCTCGGAACTTCGAGTTCGAGACTATGTTCGAATGGCATGAAGCTGGTAGGGCAAGAAATTGCAGTTGATACAAGTCTTTCTAGCTGGTTAATGGGACCTGAAAACACACCGAATTCGAAGGGTAGTACTAATTCAGTTGGGAATTCAGCAGCATCCTTCAAGACAATTTCACCTAGAAGCTATGAAGATAGGCCTGTTTTAGGAGCATTAACACTGGAAGAGCTTAAACAACATTCTGCATCTACTTCTTCCAGAAAGTGCAGGAGCCGGAGTCCTGATGAAACACCTATCTTCGGGACTGTCAGGAGCTATTGGAACCATACCGGCCAGATAGTAGATGCTGATCCAAGCTCTCCACGCAATGGAACACCGAGAACAAGGAGCAGAAACATTCAGGTATTTGAATCAGGTTTTAGATTGATTTTCATAAATACATTTTACAAATATATGTTGGAAAGACAAATACTTTGGTTGTGCATGAAGAGAGACCGAAATGGAATGCTGTACCATTTGAGGCAAGGTTGGAGAGAGCTTTGGATACAACAGGGACTGGAGGAATATATCATGCCTCTGCTGCATTCTCATGAATGTTTCTGTTGATCTGCATTTTTTGTTGCTTGATTTGTTTTATTGTGTGGAAGCATTAGATTTAGGGAAGAACCGAACATCCTCCTGGAATTCTCTCTAATTGATTCCTGGTTTGGATGATAAGCCTGTCTTGTTTAGCTTGTGTACAAAATTTGAGCTGTTTGAATGGCAAAATAATATTGATTATTGAACCATTTTAGTGCTAATGTAGAGCTGTAAACGAGACAATTATGAACTACTTGAGTTCGATTCGATTAAAGCTTGATCAACACTCGATTTGTATGAACTTTACTTGAGTTCTTAACTATCTGAAGCGAACTACTTGATATCCGACTCGAAAGACTCGCGAGCAGCTCAAAAAAATAATATATTAATTTTTTTTAATTTTTAAATTAAATTTGTTTTTTAATAAAAAAAATGTAATATAAGATTTTTATGTTATTAAAGTTCAAGTTTGAATTTGAACCGAGCTAAATCTGAGAATGTTTTTAGTTCAAGTTTTTTCAAGTTTCAATTTTTTATTTTAAGTTTGAATCAAACCTGACAATTTTAAACTCACAAACTTTCAAATCAAACTTTAATTTTTAATTTCGAGTTGAGTTTGACAATTTTAAACCCACGAGCTTTCGAGTCGAACTCAACTTTTAACTTTTTGAGTCGAATTGAGCTCATCAATACTTGAGCTCTACTCGGCTCGTTTACATCCCTATGCTAATGAATCCCAATCCTCATCATCAAATCAATCCCGGACCAAGATTGCCATTGCAACCTTAAGCAAGTACCCAGGCAAAAGAACATGTTTAATGTGGTATATGTTAAAGATGAACTTAAAGATTTACTATAAATGGATATGGTTTGGTGTACAAATGGTGACTGACCATGGTTGGATGTTTGTAGTTTCAAAGCTACCTAAATGTTTGAACAAAATTATCATTCGAAAATGCCAGAAATAATTGCAACAGTATGGCAAGAAAACAAAGAATTCCCTACATTATTTTCATTGTGCTCGCCTTGGCTGGTCGATGTCTGCCGGCATTAATGTGACCGGGCAGCGCTTATACTGTGACTGAAATACAACACAAATCAAATAAGTGATTCAAGCTTAAAAAGAAAGAAAGAAATAAACTACTAGCAGAAAATGTTGAGTTAATCGATCGATGGAATTGGCCAAGAGGGGGTGAATTGACAATTAAAATTTTGGTAGAAGCTTTTACAGAAAATTGAAAGTAATTGCACAGCGATTTAGAGTGGTTTGACTTTCTCAACCAAAGTTTACGTCCACTACCTTAGCTATCCACACTAAGGATTTTCCAACAAATTCACTAATTTGTTCTTTCTTTTGAGGCCAAAGAGATAACCTTACAACTCCCTCAAGAATATACCCCAATTCTTGAGAACACTCTTTTTCAAAGAAAAGATTACAAATTTGCAAACTTACAAAGAAATCCTCATAAGGTAATATGTTTGCACAATTCTAGAATAAAGAAAAGAACACTAAAAAATGAATACAATTGAGTACAAGTAGTGTTCTTGAAAGCAAAATGAATATTGAATGAAAAATAGGCTTGAAAATGCTCAAACTTGAGGTTTGATGCTTTCTCTTTGATTCTCTCTTGATTCTAGTTGCTTGTTGTTTCTTGTTGTTGATCAATGACTTCTAAGCTTGTTTAAATACACCTTCAAATGATTTTGAACGTTGGGGTTGATTAGTGGAGTCAATGGAGCCGTTTGAGTGTGAAAACAATTAATAAAACAACTTGGAGCGTGGGGGTATCGATACCCCTTCATAGGGTATCAGTACCTGTAGTGTAAAATTCAAATATTTCGACCGTTATATGCCTTAGGGTATCGGTACCATCATAGGGGTATCGATACCATTCGAGCATTATGTTATTTCTCGGAACCAAAATGTTCACAGGGGTATCGGTACCCTATAGGGGTATCGATACCATACTTAATCATTTTTTATTTTTTGGCTCGAATATGACTCGAAATACTTTGTAAAAATTGTTTCAAAAATATTTTAAGATTGAAACTTAATTTTACACTTGAGTAAGGATTGAAATAGACTTTTGAAAACTTGGAGTAATAATTTTCATTTTTGAATCGAATATATAATAAAATCTTAAAATTAATTAACATTTAATTTGTTATATCGAAACATCAAAATGTTTTCAACAATCTCTCCCTTTTTGATATAACAAAACATTTTAGTAATTTTAAGATTTTCTAATTTTGAAAATCATTTTTTTTTGAAAATCAAGTTTGAAATTACTCACCCTTACTCTAACACTTCTCTCTCTTAACACCTTAACATTTTCTCCCCTTTTTGTTAAATCAAAAAGACATTGAAAAGGTTTGTAAACAGTGTTTGAAAAACATTTAGCCAATTGATTATAAATAAATATAGTTTAAGCTGCTAAGATCACAATCAAGAGAAACGTTAGCCATTGGTTTCATAATCAATATTAATAAACAATGTGACATGGCAAAATTTGTCATATATCTAATTGATGTAAATGATGCAATAATGAATAAATTTAACCAAACCAAATATATAGAAATATAAGTTCAAACCATCCATAAACAAATTCAAACAACCAACAATTAAAGTAAAACAATCCAAAGTCATTCAAAATGTTGAAAACAATAAGTTTGAAGTGATGATCCAATAAAACTAAGCAAGAGTAGGGCCTAATCGTCCATCGGCGCATCAGGAGGAGATAAATGTGTCTAAATTTTGGTCACATCACGTGAAAGTGCATCGACCCTTTCGTCCAACGAATCGAAATGACGATTCATCATTTCAGTTGTAGCGGTCAGATTTGAATCGATGGATGCAAGCCTCAAATCAATGTTCTCCATAAATGATCGAAAATATGGAGGCATGTGATCGTCTTGTGGTGCTGGTTCTTCAGGCTACTCCGGCTCGTCGTCGGCTTCGTTAATATCTTGCATTAGTTGTTGAAGCTCTGGATCGTCGTCTGCTCCCGGTGGAGCTCGTGAAGAACTAGCTCCCGGAGTTTCCTCAGAGGTTCGAACCCATTCACCGGTTTCCTTATCCTTTATCCATCCCGATCTCGTTAAGGAAAGAAGATTAATTTTGTTTTTGAGGGGAATGGCTACATCAAGTTGTACCTTAAGCTCGGCTTTCTTAAACAAGTTTCTCAGTAGACAACCATAAACTAGGCTTAGACAAGTTTTCTCATTAAGAAAGAGATTCACGATGTCAACGAGAACTGAAAAGATGATATGAGGAAGGTTAATTTTCATATTATTCTGGATACAATGTATCTACCATAAATCTAAGGCTCTAAGAGTAGAGTATTTTCCTCCGGATGGTCTAAACCACCAAGAGATCATAAGATGAAGAAATCGGTCGTGATGATCTAAGATACTCGTACTCGATCTAACCTTGAAACGGGAACCTACGATTTGTTTTTCATCGCATAAACCATTATGTTGAGTTAATCGATTGACGAATATGGCCAAGAGAGGGTGAATTGGCAATTAAAATTTTGGTGGAAGCTTTTGCAGAAAATTGAAAGAAATTTGCACAATGATTTAGAGTGGTTCGACATTATCAACCAAAGTTTACATCCACTACCTTAGCAATCCACACTAAGGATTTTCCACAAATTCACTAATTTGTCTTTCTTTTGAGGACAAAGAGTAACCTTACAAACCCTCAAGAATTATACCCCAAATTCTTGAGAACACACTCTCTCCCAAAGAGAACAATACAAATTTGCAAACTTACAAGGAAATCCTCACAAGGTAGATTGTTTGCACAATTCTAGAACAAAGAAAAGAACACTCAAGAATGAATACAATTGAGCACAATAAGTGTTCTTGAAAGCAAAATGAATATTGAATGAAAAATAGGCTTGAAATGCTCAAACTTGAAGTTTGATGCTTTCTCTTTGATTCTCTCTTGATTCTAGTTGTTTGATGTTTCTTGTTGTTGATCAATGGCTTCTAAGCTTGCTTAATTACACCTTGAGTCACTTCTGAACGTTGGGGATGTTTAGTGAAGATAATATAACCGTTTTAGTGTGAAATCAATTAATAAAACAGCTTGGACCGTGGGGGGAATCGGTACCCCCTAGGGGGAATCGGTTCCCTCCGAGCATACTGGAATTCTCGGAGCTAAACCATTCAGGGGGAATCGGTACCCCCTTGGGGGGGAATCGGTTCCCTCTGAGCAATCTGGAATTTTTGGCTTTGAAACGGTTCGAAATACTTTGTAAAATTATTTTGAAATTGTTTTAAGATTAAAACTTAATTTTACACTTGAGTAAGGATTAAAAATGACTTTTAAAAGATTTAGAGTAATGTTTTTGATATTCGAATAATTATATCGAATATACTTAGAAAATCTTTTTGGAAAATCTTAAAATTCATTTAACTTAATTTGTTATATCGAAATATCAAAATGTTTTCAACAATCTCCCTTTTTTTGATATAACAAAACATTTTAGTAATTTTAAGATTTTGAAATCAAGTTTTGAAATTACTCCCTCTTACTTTAACACTTCTCCCATTTAAAACATTTAACATTTAACACTTCTCCCCCTTTTTGTTAAATCAAAAAGACATTTTAAAATAATTTAAACAAGGTTTTCAAATCATTTAGCCAATTATATATATAGTTTAAGCTGCTAAGATCATAATCAAGAGAAACGTTAGTCATTAGTTTCATAATCAATATTCATAAACAATGTGACATGGCAAAATTGGTCATATATCTAACATGATGTAAATGATGCAATAAATTTAACTAAACCAAATATATAAATTCAAACATCCAAACAAATCCAAAGTCTAACAATCCTCAAAATAAAACATTCCAAAATATTCAAAATGTTGAAACAATAATCTTTTAGTTCAAAGTTCTAAAGCTAAACACAAAATCAAACATCCGGATTGGGAGGAGGAAAACGAGCGGCCATCTCATGAGTGAGTTGATTAATACGAGCGTTGATTGCTTCATTGTTTGCACGCATCTTCTGAAGAATTTCCAATTGTTGAGCTCCCATTGTGGATAAATGAGACTCTATAAAAGTAAAGCGCGAATCTATTGTAGCATATCGGAAATCGAATGTCTCCATAAAAGATTGAAAATATGGAGGCATTTGATTCGTTTGTTGTGCTTGCTCCTCGGGCTACTCCTCGGGCTGCTCAGGCTCATCTTCGGCTTCATCGATGTCTCGCATTAATTGTTCAAGCTCGGGATCGTCGTCAGCTTCTGGTGGAGCTCGTGAAGAACTAGCTCCCGGAGTATTTTCAGAAGATCGAACCCATTCACTGGTTTCCTTATCCTTTATCCATCCCGCTCTCGTTAAGGAAAGAAGATTAAATTGTTTCTTTAGAGGAAAGACGACATCTAGACCTACTCTAATCCCGACTTTAGAAAAAAGATTACTCAGAATGCAATCGTAAACTAGAGATGAACAGAGTTTCTTGTTAGGAACAAGATTTACGGTTTCAACAATTTCAACAAAAATGATCTGAGGTAGGTTTATTTTAATACTGTTTTCGAAACAATGTAACCACTAAAGATCCAAGGCTCTAAGAGTAGGATAACGACCTCCAGATGGTCAAAACCACCAAGAAATCATTAGTTGAAGAAAACGTTCATGAAGGTGTAAGACATTCACACTATCCCTTCTTTTATAACGAGAACCTAAATTTTTTTTTTCATTTGAAATACCATCGTTATCTAATTCTAATGCCTTGGCTATGTAAGTCGAGTCAATATGTAAGAATTGTCCTAGGAGGTAGGAACGAACTCATATGGTTTCGGTTTGAGCTCGGTTTTTGACACAAACAGCATTAGAATAAAAGATGCGAACAAGTTGATGATAAACTATAGGTTCAAGGTCACAAAGTTTATCAAATTTTCACTCTTGTAAAAAGAGGAAGATATTTAAAATTAATATCTAACATAGCTTGATGAGAAGGGATACGTTCTTCTCTAATTTTGTAAGAGTCAAAATATTGATAATACCAAAAATGATGATTTCTAGGACCAGGATGATTGAAGCATGAATTTTGGATAGTTATATTGGGATCAACTGGATTAGGATTAGGAATTGAAATTTTAGGAATAGGAGGAGGATTTGGAGGTGGATTTGGTTGACTGTGTAAGCGAATAGATGATGACCTAGAACATTTAGGATTGGACATGGTTTAGGAAATCAGAATAGAATGGATAACCTGTAATTTAGAAAACACATGTATGCAATTCAATCAATCCCAAAACTCAATTGAGTCATCAATATTTCAAGGTTCTCTAAATCAATCCTAATGGGCAAAGTTTTTGAAAACTATTGAAAAATAAGATTTTGAAAAACAATATATGTATAGTTTTCATAACAACAACATAATTCAATTAAAACACAATAATTTGAAAAACAATTTTTTTTATTTCGAAAATTTCAAAAATTTTGGAAAATTCTTGTGTTTTTGATGAAATTAGTTGTAATATCTAGTTTCTAATCACTAAACAATCAATTCCCAATCACTATTTCTATCTAGAACTAATTAAAACTAGTCCTATGTTCAAAATCAATGAAATAGAGAGTTTAGAAAAATTTACCTTGAAAGATGAGATTGAGTGGATTTTGATGTTGTTTGCACGATTTTAATGATGCTAGCAAGTTTAGAAGATGATATTTGAAGAGAATTCCGATTAAAAATGTTGTTTTGAGGCAAGAATAGAGATAGGGAGAGTAGAGAGGGGAAACAGCGGAAGAGAAGAGAAGAGAAGAGAGGTTTTGAGCTAATACCAAGGGTTCTGCCCGATTAAACTAGAACCCCAGGGGGGTATCGATTTCCCTTATGGGGGAATCAGTTCCCCTTCAAAGGGGGAATCGGTTTCCTCATGGGGGTTTCGATTCCCTCTGCACCAAAATGCTAAAATCCAATTTTAAAGATACAAAATGCTAAATTAATTTTCTCTAGTGGTATTGGCAACTCATATAGTGAAAATTAATCATGTTCAAACAATAAAATTAATCTTTAAACGATATTTGAACATAAAATTAATTTTCATCAAGAATCATAAACTCCCCCTAACTAATAGCAATGAATCAATCAAAAATTAGCATTTTTCATTTAGTCTTAAAAGTGCTAAATTATTTTAAACACTAAGTGAAGATAGGTTGGTCAAACCTAATTCTCTCCTAAGTGTCCAAAATATTTCCTTGTTTAAAGGTTTTGTAAAGATATCCGCTAATTGGTGCAAAGTATCAACAAATTCTAGAACTACATCTTCCTTAGTGACATGGTCTCTAATGAAGTGATGTCTTATTTCAATATGCTTAGTTCTAGAGTGTTGGATGGGATTTTTAGTGAGACAAATAGCACTAGTATTGTCACACTTGATAGGAATGGTACCAACTTCAATTCCATAATCAAAAGTTGTTGTTTCATCCATAAACTTGTGCACAACAACTACCAGCTGAAATGTATTCGGCTTCAATGGTAGATAATGAAACACAATTTTGTTTCTTTGAAAACCAAGAAATCAGCATATTTCCAAGGAATTGGAAAGTACCGGAGGTGCTTTTCCTATCTAATTTGCATCCTCCATAATCCGCATCAGAAAAAGCATGCAAGATAAAGCTAGAGTCTCTAGGATACCAAAGTCCTAAACTAGGAGTGTCCTTAAGGTATCTAAAGATTCTCTTAACAACTAGTAAATGTGATTCCTTAGGGCATGATTGAAATCTAGCACATAAGCAAACACTAAACATAATGTCCGGTCTACTTGTAGTTAGATAAAGTAGAGATCCAATCATTGACCTATATAATTTAACATCTATACATTTACCTCCTTCATCTAAGTCAAGCTTTGTTGAAGAGCTCATTGGAGTGTCATGAGGTTTTCCATTTTCCAGTCCAAACTTCTTGAGCATATCTTTGACGTACTTAGCTTGATTGATGAAGATGCCATCTTTTCTTTGCTTGATTTGGAGTCCCAAGAAAAATGAGAGCTTCCCCATCATGCTCATCTCAAACTCACTTTGTATTAGCTTAGAAAATTCTTGACA